GCCCCCAGCCAGCAGCAGGGGTGGCCAGAGCCCAGGCCTTACCTTGGAGCTATAAGTGGGGTCGCTGTCCACAGGGACGGGCTCGGCACCCGAGTCGGGCGCTGCCTCCTTCTCAGGAGACACCTGGATCCGGCTCGGGTGATGGAGGGAAAAGGGCTGGCTCAGAGGGAAGGCGGACAGCCAGCTGAGCCGCACGGACAGGAAGTGCGAGGGCACCAGCAGGCTGCGGTAGCGGCGCTGCAGCTCGAGGAAGTCGCAGAAGGGACTGGAGGGAGACAGCGGGGAGCCACATGGAGCAGGTTACCGCAGGACTGGGAGAGACTTGCCAGGAATGGGCAAACTGGTTCTCAGTCTGGGAGAGGAGAGCTTTGAGGTGGGCGCCTCGCGAAGGGCAGAGGTGGGTCAGATCTGGCCAGGCAGTCCACAGCCTCTAGACGGCAAAGGGAAGGCCAGCTGGGAACAGAGGGAGGCGCACACCACACCGCACACGACAGAGGCGACAACGGCCCCGCGAGAGGTTTGTGAAAACCAGTAAGAGCTCAGATGCCTAAAAAGCTGGGAGAGTGGCCTCGACAGGTACTTAGAGGAAAAACGGAAAACTCCAAAGCCCACCGCAACATGCCCAGGCTCACTTAGAAATGCAGATGAAGTAATTTTCACCAAAGTGACAAAGATGGGGCAGTGGGGACAGAGGCCTGAGGGAACATGTGTACACAGGATCAGCTGCCCCGAGGGAGCTCGCATAGCTACTGGGTGCAGTCGTGCCCCCCAGGCCGCTATCCTGTCCCAGGAACCGACCCGCGCACACAGATGTGCAGCGCTTATCACAGCAGGGGTACTCGGGTAACCAGGCTGCGGGTGGGGAACTGGCTACGTGAGGCAGCTCTGCCCCTCAGCGGGCACTGCGCAGCTGCCAACAAGGGTGAGCGCTCCGAAGCACTCGTCTGCGGGGAAGGACGCACCGAGATGCCAGGCACCACAGTGCGCACAGTCCGCTGGACACCGGGTCCCGATGCCGTTACTCAGGAACAGCGGGGCCTGAGAACGCAGGTGCGCTCACACGGCCCATCTCACTCACACGAGAAGCTGCCGCAGTGGCGAGTCCCTGCCCCACGCGGCCTCGCCCTCACCTGTCCACAGTATAGGGTGTGAGATGGACCCGGTAAGGAGGCAAGTCGTGCCTGGGTTTCTTCGCGCCCCAAGGCTCCCCACCGGCCCGCTGCTTGCGTTTCTTGGAGTCATAGTCATCGCTGAAGGTTGATCCATCATCAAAAGAAAAACACTGTTAGAGGCGTGTTCAATACACACTGGTCAGAGAGAAAGAACTGAAAACTGGCCAATCTCCAACCTCACAAAACTAGATGAAGCAGTCACACTGAGAGCCGTGACGGAATGCTACAGACCCTAAAGGGGACACGTCAGCCCCCTCATAGCAGTGAGCGCTCCTATGTTAAGCAAATAGTATGCAACGCTATACATACAGTGGGCCTCAACTCTGCAAAGAAAAAAAAAAGATTTAAAAGACAAAAAATAAAATATTACTGGTGATGTCTTTAATAAGCTTATGAAAAATTTAATTTTTCTGAGTTTTATAAATTATAATTAACAGTTTTCTGAAATGAGAGAAAAAATTTAACCTTTTTTTTTTTTAATAAGACACATGGTATCACACTATGGGTTCTATAAACTTTTGTTCTGGGCCAGCCAGTGGCGTGATGGTTAAGGTGGCTGGATCTCACATAGCCAACTACACGGTTTAATTCCCAGGCCCAGTGGTTTGAAAAACAATGGGCATGTCGGGGAACCAGCAGTTAGCGTAATGGCTATGTCGCTGGACTCCCACGTAGTCAACCGCAGTTCGCATCCCAGACCTGGCGGCTTAAAACTCACGCCGGTCCTGTGTGCGTGCGTGCCCAGGATCCCGAGAGGAGAATGGAGAAGGGATTGCGGCGTGACCATCCCCCCTGGAGGGTGATTTCTCGCTTTCTGTCTCTATGTCTGTTTTTCTGGCGAGCGCACGCGCCCTACAGTGAAAAAATCTCTCTCTCAAAACAAACAAACAAACAATGGGCGCGTGTGTGCTTGCCCCACATCTTGAGAATAGGGGGAAGGGAATAGTGTAGCCATCCCCAGGGCACTTTCTCACTCCCCTATCTCTGTCTCTGTCTCTCTGACAAGCATATACACACTACTGCAGATTTTAAAGGGGGGACAGCAGATGGCATAACAGCTATGTTGCTGGACTGCCACATAGTCAACCACAGTTCAAATCCCAGACTCGGCGGCTTAAAACGCACATGGGGTGCTTGTGTGTGCATGCCCACAATCCTGAGAGAATGGAGAAGGGATTGCGGCGTGACCATCCCCCCTGGAGGGTGATTTCTCGCTTTCTGTCTCTCTATCTCTCTCTGTCTGTCTGGCAAGCGCACGTGCCCTATAGCAAAAACCTCACCAAAAAAAAAACAGTTACCTTTAAATGAGAGGCAGTGAAAACCACACACTTTTACTTTAAATGGACCTAATAGCACGTAGTACCTTAGGTGTTTTTCTAAGTCCCTCACAGCACTGCCGTTACAACAGACAAAAATATTAGGAGAGAGGGGACCAGGAGGTGGCGTGGTGGATAAGGCTCTGGACACTCCTACATGGCTGACCCTGGTTAGAGTACAGGACCTGGTGGCTTGCTTTCTCACTTTCCCTCTGTGTGTGTGGGTGGGGGTGTGTGTGTGTGTGTGTGTGTGTGTGTGTATCTCTGGTCAAATTGAAATAAATGAATGAATACATAAAATTAAATAAATAATTTTTAAAATATATTAGAAGAGAAAATCTTTAAGTCATTCGTTATAAAACGCCAGAGTGATAAGGGAAAATTCCTGTTTCCTGAGAAAAATTAAACAAACTGTCACCCTCCGTGCCTCAGGAGCTGAGCTGACTAGATCTAGCAGAAGCGTCTGTTCTTTCCTTTCAGCCCGGCTGGGTGGCTCCATGGGGTCCAGCCCCGAGGAACCGGGTTGGTTCTGTTCAGCATGCAGTCTCTCCCTCCTGTTCACCTGGGCCCTGGTCTGTTCGTGAGCGTCTCCATCCAAAAGCAGCCCGACCCACCCTGCCAGGCCATCAGTATGGCCATGTTTCTAAGAGCTGTTCCCAAGTCATCTGGACAGCCCCGTCCAGCTCACCGGCGGCTGACGTAAGAAACAAACCCTTCAGTAATGGCCGCCAACTTCTAGCTAAACAGTCTGTCCCACGAACCCTGTGGATGTGCGGCCACAGCTCTCCCCTCCCTGCCAGGGCCAGGGCAGGAGGCGGTGCTAGCAGCAGCAGGAGCAGCTGGCTACACCTGGCTACGCCCTTGGGAGCAGCAGTCCAGGGAACACTGGTCCCTGCTCCCTGAAGCCTGGACTCAGAATACAGCTCAGCTTCCATGCAGGGCCATCCGCACAGCAGAGTGCTTTACAGATGGATGTGAGCCTCCCAGGGGGACTTACTCCCACTACCCTCTTCCTCCTCTGCAGTCTCCCTGCTGACGCAGGCGGCCTCGACCCAGTGGTTACTTCACTGTGCGGGAAGCTGCACCTTGGTGGCATCATGGCCACAGCAGTTACAGGGGCGTGGCACAGGGCTGGCACATCCAGGGCAGTCACACAGCATGCCTGGGGCCAGACGGCAGTGCAGCAGTATGGCGCTGCACTCCACGAGGCTGCAGGCCCGGCCCGGCCCGGCCGAGTGTGGGGTGACCGTGGCTTCAGGACCGTCGAGGGTGCACTCTCTCCCTCCCCTGCCTTCACACATAGAATGAACTGTTTAAAAGTCTGCAGCCAACTGCAGAGAAATCCCGAATTCTGAACCTGAACTTAAGCAGAAAGCCCACATCAGTCAGGATTTTCACTCAAGCTGCCCTACCCATGACAGCCCTTGCTGTGAGTCTGCAGCAAAGCCTTCAATGATCTTTGAACATGCAAGGGGGGAAGGTTCTTAGAAGCTGAAGGCCAGGGGTCTGACAGGTGGCATGGTGGTTAAGGGTGCTGGACTGCTGCACGGCCAACTGGTTCGAGTTCCAGACCTGGCAGCTTGCTTTCTCACTTTCTCTCTCTCTCTCTCACTCTGGTCATATTAAAATAAATAAGGTTAAGTAAAATGATTCTTAAAGAGAGGCAGACGCTGAGGGCCAGGAAGATGAGACGAGGTGTGGGTGTGCACAAAACAGGCCAGTGAGCGGACTGTGGGACAGAGCGTTTCAAGCACTGGGGCTGAGGACAGCAGGCCCTCACAGCCTCCCAGTCACAGTGACCCACTCGGAGCAGGCACTAGCTTCGGCGTGGAGGCCAATCGGCACCCTTTGCCTACACTTTCTTTCTCTTCTTTTTTTTTGCGAGAGGGGATGTTTGCCCACTACAGAAATACAGGGAGAGCGAGCGAGTGCCCTATGGAGGATGGCCATGCCACAGTCCTTCCTCCTCCACTCCTCCTTTCCAGACTTTGGGCACACACACACATGCACCAAGCATATTCCTCAAGCCACCAAGTCCAGAACTTGAACCACGCAGATGGCCACTTGGGATCCAGCCACCTTAACCACCAGGCTGCTGGCTGGTCCTGAGTTACTCCATGCTCCCCTGAAGTATCTGCACTGGTCTGTAGTCAGCCCTTACCATGTAATAAGCTACTGGGGTCTGGGGTAGAAGGTGTTTCCTTCGCTGGACAGTTCTCACTTGGACATGGGGGAGGGCTCCGTGGGATTTCCTGTTTGTCCAGTTGTCGAGATTTATCCATTTGGATCTACATAAATTCCACCCTAAAGAAGTGTTTACCTTAAAATAGTCCAGTGATCAAATTAAAATAAAGTTAAATAATTCTTTTTAAGAACAATCAGGCGGGGGCAGTGACTAGATGGAGGTAGAGGTGGACAGGAACAACAGGTGGTGACACTGGAAGTTGCGAGGCGGGCAGAGCCCATCACACTTGTCTGCTAATTTTGCACGTAGACTCTCCGTACATGTGTCAGAAAAACTTAAAATGAAGCCAGAACTAGAACTAGTCATAAACTAGCCTGGAGCCAAGCTCCCAGAGACGGCAAAAAAAGCCCTCAGGCACAGGCACGCAGGGCTGGAGAGGCCGGGCAGCAAGCCCCGCTGTCCCCAGTGCACCAAGCACCAAGGACAGCCGAGGCCCAGGGAACCAGGCCTGCTCCACGCTCACAGCCTGAGTCTCCCGGGAGAGTGCAACACATGTGCAACACACACCCCCTTGTGCACACACTCATGTAGGCAGAGGACTCCAGTAGGAACTGAGATGCATGCTACAATGTTGCTTCTCTCTGATGGTACTGTTTCCTGTACAGTTTTGATTCTCGGTATCAAAATTTACAGGTTAGCAATAAAAGGGGAGCATATACTTAAATGTACCTCACAGCCTAGGTGTGTGGTGCACACCTGTAACCCCCGAGACTCAGAAGACTGAGGCAGGACTGAGTTTGAGGCTATGCTGGGCAACTTAGCAGGACCCTATCTCTAAAACAAGAAAGTATCTCAACACGACATCTTAAGAGAAAAACTAGGGGCAGGAGGTGGCGTGGGGTTACGGTGGCTGGATCCCACATGACCACAGTTCGAGTCCCAGACCTGGTGGTTTGAAAATGCCGCCGGGCACGTGTGTGAGCGTACGTCCCAAATCCCAATAACAGAATAGAGGAGAAGGGACTGTGACGTGACCCCCTACCCTGGGGAGTGACTTCTTGCTCCCCTCCTCTGTCTCTCTCCAGTGAACACATACCCTATGGGAAAACATTTTAAAAAGCTCCAATCCTTGCACACACAGCTCCATTTGTCTGCTAAGGAAGCAGGACCTAGCTGCAGAAAGGAAGTGGCGTCACTGCGCCTAGAGGCAGGCAAAGCCCTCCCCGCCTGGCCCTCCTACCTCCGGCCCTGATCCAGGCGTCCGTGAGGGCCCCGCGCAGGAAACCTGCTGAGATGGCTCAGGTGCAGCGTGTGGGACGTCTGGAAGAGGCTCAGAGCTGCAGAGAGGGGCGGGCTGGTGACCCGAGAGCCCCACAGCCTGTGTAGTCCCCAGTGTGCAGAACACCCACTTCCACCCAGAGGACCCCGCAGAGCCACACCCTACATCCATGCCACTGCTACTCACGCTTCTGAGGAAAAAGCGGGGGAATCCGGTGAGGCTGGAAGATCAACTGGGGCTGGGCTCCCAGGATCCCTTGCTTCTGGCCCAGGGCTGCCACATGCAGAAGAGGAGGTGCCGGGGACTTCAGCAGGGGCTGCAGGGCAGTGGCAGGAGGTTCAGGACTCTGCCCTAACGGGACAGCCCACGCCTCGACAGCACTGAGCTTCTGCCCAGCTGCCCAGGCCCGGGGCTCTTCCCGCCCTGCCCGAAGCACTTGCTCGGGAGAGACAAGTACCTGGTTGGAGAGCGTCTGCACCTTGACGGCGTTCCAGGGCACGGCCTGGCCTGGGTTGTACGCAGCCTTCACCAGCACCTTCTCGCCCAGCTGTGGCAGCCGGCCCTTCACCACGCTGCAGCACACAAGCCGGGAGACCCCGTCAGGAGACGACCCAGCAGAGCCGCCCCAGAGACCCTCCCATCAAGATTCCATAGGATCGCGTAAAAATAGCAAAGCAGTGGCTTAGAGGGGCCCACAGCATCTGGCAGGACTGAACCTGAGCACTTCCAGGAGGGGACCAGCCTCCAGCCTACCTTAGCTGAAAAAAGACCTCTTCGTCCACCACCCCGAAGTAGTCGTGCAAGCTGGTGACGATGCCAGTGAAGACCCGCTGTTTCTCCCCACCCTGCAAGAGAGGAGGCCAGGGGAAAAGTCACAGCAGCCTGGCCTGAACGCACTCTGCCACTAGGGCTGTGCCTCTGTCCACACCCCAGCCAAATACTGAGTCCAGGCTCACGGGGAAAGGTGCATTTGCTAAGAGTGAATGTGAACGTAAACGTGAACGTGAGCCATCTTTGGGGAGAGGGGCAGAGGACCATCTGATTCTTGGCCCAGAAGTATCTAAGCTATCTAGTTCTTTAATTGCAAAGGGCTCACAAAAGATTTCCTGGAGGCCCAGCACGGTGGTTCAGGGGTAGGGGTGCTGCTACAGGGTACTGGAAGCCCTACAGAGGGCCCTAGGTTAGCATCCCAGGTGACCTGGACATGCTGGGAGGGGTTGTGCCATGAAGACCCTGTCACGGGTGCCTGTCTCACTCTCTCTGGAAATGAGTAAAGCTATTTACTTCATTTTAAGATCTTCGACTGCTGGAGGGTGTTTGTGCTCACTAGAGAGATGGAGAGGGAGGAAGCACGCTCCCAAAGGGGCAGTCACGCTGCAGCCCCTTGTCCATGCTGTTGGGATTTGGGGTGCACAAGCACCTGCCACATTTGTCTAGCTGCCAGGACCAGGATTCAAACCTCGTTGGACATGTGGGTCTGGCTTTCTTAACGACTAGGCTAAGAATGTACAATGGAAAAGGTTCTTAGAAACTAAAGGCCAGGCAGATGACAAGAGGTGTGGTGCGCACAAAGCAGGCCAGTCATTGGACAACGGGCCAGAGGGTTTCAAGTAGTGGCGACTGTGGTGAGTTTGGGGCCAGCCCAACTTGTTGTTTTTAGTAAGATTTTTGCTATAGGGCATGTACACTCGCCCGAGAGACAGAAAGGCAGAAAGCAAGAAATCACCCCCCGGGGGGGATGGTCACACCACAATTCCTTCTCCAGTCTCCTCGTAGGATCTTGGGCACGCGCGCACACGCGCGCCTGCTGAGTTTTAAGCCACCAGGTCCAGAAATCAAACCACAGTCAACTACATGGGAGTCCAGCAATGCTGGTCCCCCAAACTAATTTTTTTAAATATGTTTTAAAAGATTTCTCTAGAGCCAGAAGTTAAGAATCCCCCAGGGAGGCAGCAGGTGGCATGGCGGTTTGAGAGCAGGTGGCTAGAAAAGCACCCAGCACATGTGCGTGCGTGCCCAAATCCCAGAGGAGAACAGGGCACTCCAGCGTGGCCCTCTCCCCGGGGGTGACTTCCTACTTTCCCTCTCTGTCTCTCTCCGGGGAGCGCAAGCGCCCTACGGCAAAATAATAAAAGACTCTCCCATCTGAGTGGCGTGCAGTCACCCCGGTACTGGCCCACTGCTAGGACGGGTCAGGAACGATGAACACCGCAATGCAAGGCGTGAACACGGTGCAGTTGCAAGCTGAACCATGAGAAAGGTGCCCCGCCTACCTGAAGGTGCCTGGCATTCTGGGACAGGTCTGTAGCCACAGGAGGGGTGAGCAGACCAGGAGGGGGGCCCAGTAGAGACGTCGAAGCTGTGCCTACAGGGACAGAGAAGCCATCTCCAGAACTGCACCTTAAGCCCAAGAGTCAGCTGAGGGCACCGTAACCCCCAGGGCCCAGGGGCCCTGACCAGAGACTCCACTAGGCTTCAGTGGCAAGTCCTGTGGTCCTTACACACCAACAGCAAACAGCTTTCCACCACAACCCGCCAAGAGGCACACCTCTGAACACTAACCCCAGCGCGCACGCCCCAGGAAGGGAGAAGGGGTCACCTGAGAAGTTGCGGCCCCCTGGAAGCGGGCTGATCCGCTGGCGCTTAAACTGGGACATTGGGAATGCGGTCCTCTTCCGGGGTCGTGGGGAATCCTTCAACCAGAAAAGAAAGGCGTTAACAGTGCACGTGGAATGTTTCCATCCAACTCCGGGAAAGTGGACACTCAAGGAAGGCAGGAGCGGTGCCTGAGGGTGAATGGAGGGCATGGATGTGGTCAGAGGAGTCGCTAGTGACGTCCCTTAGCTCGGTCTGCCCTCGCAATAACCTAGCTATGGGGGACACTGTCGTGCTGATTTACAGAAAAAGAAAGACTTCGTGAGACCGAAGCTGGCCTGGGGCCACTTAACCAGGTAGGGACACACCGGGACTCACCGCCAGGTCTCCCAGCAACTTAGCGGCCCTCTCACGATGCCACGGCACCAGGGTGGCTGGCGGGGCTGGGGCTGGAGAGGGCCCGGGTGACATTCATTCATTCAAAAACGTCCGCCAAGACGCCGCAGGCAGGACCCGGGAAAATGG